TGTCAATGCTAGCTAGTGGGTATGTGCTTTGTTTCATGTGCGGCTTTGGGGAACGACTTTCTCAGCTTTTACCCCGAGACTGTCTTCTCCCACTGGATCTCTAGGTTATCCTGCTCATTTATGCAAACTTGAGGATGCTTAAAACACTGGGTGATCAACCCCTCAGGCGAACCAATAAACTTTCTTCTGACCAGGGAAGACCGGATATCAGCTGAGTTTCCCTATGAGGCTGTCATGGGGTATTCTCCGACACTTCCACATCTTCGGGTGAGAGAAAGGCAGTGTCTCTTATCTTTGGCATCTTTATCATCAGGCCCTCATAAAATTCCCAGGCTAAAGTCTTAGCAATCAATAAAAATCAATAAAATACATAATTATACATGTGAGGAGCTGTGTCAGGAGACAAAGCCCAAAGGACAGTAAATCAAAACATTCCAGCGACAAAGAAAACTAAGACACAACAGAACCAGGGTACCCTCAGTGTTCCAAAGGTGAACAGAACCCAAATGCCTTTATAGATCCAAAAACAAACAAACAAACAAACGGAAAGACTAGACCAAAATGCTATAAAAGCAAGCAAGCAAAACTGGACACCTTAAATAAAATACTTGAATGCAGACAAAAAGGGTGGAAAAAAGGATCAATGAAATTAAATTAGGAGCCTTAATTAACCAGTTAAGAATAAACAAATTGACTGTTGACCAAACCAAGAGAGGTACAGAGTCCCAGAAACAACTCACCAATGATCAATAACAACAGACTCCGGGATGCAGTGGGTCCGTTTGGCCCCCCGACTTTCATTCTGTTGATTCCTCCACTGAAAAGTGGATCGTTCTTGGAGCCCCACACTGGACACCATAGTTGTCAACACAAAACCGCAGTCCTCATTTTGAAGGGGATGGGAGAGGTTTGATTCTGGCGCTTTAGTCTCAGGACACAGAGAAATCAACCTTGAACTGGGACGGAAGACTCTTTCCTACTGGCCAGTCCACATTGTGTTGGGTGTGACAAAGCCTGCTGGGGGACAGCTGTCATAAGAAAGCCACTCGGATGTGAATTCTCTGTGTAACAATACTGAGGAGCCACGCTGGATGAGCCCACTGGGGAAATAGTGGCAAACCTGTTGTGGAAGTGACCGGTGGCTTTCTGATTGGATTTGATGCCAGCCACGTAGGAGGGAAATTAGATTTCATACTGTATGCCCAGTCAAAGTCCATGGTTGGGGAGGTTCATGGGCAAGTGTGGAGCTACTGCTGTGGTTCTGCTCAATGGATATGATGTCCCTGTCAAGTTCCCTCCTAAATAACGATGTTTATGCCCATAGTCTAGCGCTTCCATCGGCTCTGGTCAGTGGTTAGTGGTGGGTGTAGAGATAACTGGTCAAAAACAGAATGAATGACTATTGAATGCTCACCTATGAATGAGACATCTATGATACAGTATCCAGTGCTCAGGGAACATGGGAAAAGGGTGGGAGGAATTCAAAAGTCAGAAGAATAAGGGGAGCAGTGTGGTGTGGTTACTTCTGGGTAGGACACTCTGGTAGTCTTGAGCTCTTGATTACCTGTACAAGATCTCCACAGGGTTTGGGCTGTCAACACCCTGTCGTGGAAGGAGGAGGGGCTCCTGGGGCCCCACCTCTCCCTGAGGATTTCTATACAGATAATGGCTGGTGGGGAGGGAGACATGTTTTCTTTAGTGGTTCAGCCACTAGTGAGGTGCACGATCCTGTCAATGAACTCTCACCAACAACGTTTATAAGCGACCCCAGTGAAGCTCAGTGGGGTCACATGAAAAGAACAGGGCAGTCGAAGGATGGCTAGATGGGGAAGGAAAGATGACGTCACAGATGTTGGAGAAGGACAGGAGAGGATAGTGGAGTGAGTATGATCAAAACACATGTGCACTTGCATGAAATTGTCACAGCAAAGTCTGTTATATGTATGGTTAATATGTGCTAATTAAACATTAAAATGAAATATTGATTTTATGCCAGTGACTTGGTATATATTTGCTGTTTTACACATAGTATTTAAGTGAATTAATGGTAATATTACACAGACAATGAGTTGTTATTTCCTTTTATCACCAGAATATTTACTTTGTTCCCCCATAGAATGCACATCTGTATTTAACTGCTTCACTGTGCTCGTTCTAGGTCGCAGCTTTGTCTTTGCTGCATTGCCAGATGCTAACCAAGTATTTGTCACAGAGCATGCATGTCATCAGAACAAGATTAGGCAGTTATAATATTACAAAGATTAGGGAAGCCTGAACAAGAAGTTGTGTGAATTATTAAACTTTCTCGAATATGTGTTGAGGTGCTGAGAGTATCTCCAGCAGGTTCGTTCAACCGTCATGGGAAGATGGAGATTATAGCTAGAAAAACCACAGCAAAGTCTACAGATGGATAGTGGTGGCTGTGTGGAGTCAGGGTTCTGGGAAACAAAGTCTACTGATGTCATTATTACACACATGTGATAAGTATACACACATGATTATTGTATGTGTAATTAGTTCATACGTGTAATCATTATATTCATGTGATTGTTACACATGTGTGACTAGTATACATGTGTGATCAGTGCATGTGTGTTTTGTACACACATGCGATTAGTATACACGTGTGGTTAGTACACATGTAATTAGCACACACATGTGATTGAACACACATGCGATACTTCAGGAACACCACTCATTGACAATGAGAAGAATAAGCAGAGGAAGACAAAAGAAGCATCTAGATTTGGTAAGGCTAACTTGTGCTGAGCATTTTGTGATATTCCAAACACTAAGGCACGCAACAAAGGGTCGGAACACAACAAAGGCCACATTAGGCAGGTGCCAGTCACCCCACGTTAACCTTGCAATTGAAAAGGATTCATTATTGTGAATCCATTTGGGCTTATTTTAATCTTTCTTAGGAGGAAAGCAGGACTTTCTGGGCTGCTCATATAGTGAGTCTATAGTAGAAATGACAGTGGCTTGGAGAGCTGTGCATGGTACTGGGTCAAAATCCATGACAGTTTACACACTGATGCTCTTGTGCCTGCAGCTGTCCACGCCACTGCCTAAATCCTAGACCCCACTGATGTACCCTTGAAGGGGCTTGCACCACCCTTCTTTTGAACGGTCTTTTAATTTTTATGCTTTGCTGCATAGACTATTTTCTGGATTTTGGGGCTTTTGTTACATTTGCAAATTACCTGAGTTTTCTGCTTCCTCTCTAAACAATGCAGATCCCAAATCTACAGTGTACACCAATATTTGTGGTCTCCACATTTGTACCAAATGCTGCCAGTATGCTTGGTGCAAACCATAGGCTGCAGTCTGTGATGTCTATTCAGGTCTGCTTCACCTGTCTGGGTTCTGCAGAGTCTTCGGGTAGATTTGCGGATCCTTCTAGCTAAACTCAAATAATCCCCTCTCAGTCTTTCTTACATCACCATCCTGCCTGGATCATATTCCATGACGTCACCATCCTGCCTGGATTACATTCCATGATGTCACCATTTTGCTTGGATTATATTCCATGACGTCACCATCCTGCCTGGATCATATTTGATTCAGGCGGAGATTAAGAGATACTTCCATTTCAACTTTTTATTTAGACATGAGATGGCAAAACTTTCCAAGGAAAATGGTTTTATGGCCAACTCAGAGGTTCAGAGCCTAAGAGATTTTAAATCTTTCAAATTATATGATAATTGAAATTCAGAAAAGTTAATGTGTTAAATTACACAAAAATTCTTTGGTTTAAATTCTTGGCTCAAAGCATTGTAGGTGGAGTTTTCACTGATTGAAGCTTCAGCAGGACATTCAAACCTCATGATGTATGTGGAAAATGATTGGTTGTGTGGGAATACTCAACTCCTGCAGGCCCCCAGCAGGCTTTCACAAGGAACATATCAGCTATATCTTTTTATCACTGTTGCTTTATGCAACATGTCAGGATTTTCCTAACTGAATGCCCCCAACATATAAATTTTATGTCTAATGAGAACCACTGGCTAAGATTATTGTCTTTCCATTGTTGGAAACAACACACAGAAAGGATGCATGTTTAAAACCTAAATAAAATCACCAAGAAGAGGCCTAAGTATTAAGTAGGCATTCACCAGTGCGTGCCACATGAAATCAGTTAGTTATAGTATGAACCATCAAACTAAAGAGTCCACATCTTTTGTGTAGAAAAGTATGATGTAGGAACTTTTATGAATAAGTACTAATTTATTATATATTGCATGTAAATATTAAGAAATTTAAGACAACACTTTAATTACCAAATAGGAATGACATTTAAAATTCTCTATAAACAGGAAATGCAGTAAGCAAGGTATGTAAAATCTAAGCACCCTCAAAATAGTGTCATGTAATTTTAGAACAATGATTATTTAATCTGTTATTTTCAGCACTTAATAAGGATAGTAGTAATTTGGGTATTGGTGAGGAAAATGAAGTCAATTGTATTTAATTCAAATTTACCTTATTAATAAAAGTTGAACCTCATGCTAGTTTGTGGCCTGAGCCCTTTTTGAGGAAGGACTGCGCTGGCCATCTTTAGCTTCTCTCTTGTGACCAGTCAGCACTTCTCTCATTTCCTGGAATCCTTAAGTGTCTTAGATACACTGAAGCCAAAACATCTTCAGTGTTTGTTTCCCTAAAGGGATGAAATTATCCTGTGACCAAATCCCATCGCTCTCTGTTTTAAACAGGTGTTGGTTGTTGCTGTTGTTAAGTTATGAGGGATCGAACCATTGATCTATATTCCCAGGTGTTAAACATTTTAACACTGAGAAAACATTCTTTGCATATTAAGCCTCATTTACTTCAAGTAAACTGGCAGGGCCTAATACAGACTGTTTTTCCCTATGTGAGCTAGCTGGACAAGATGATAGATGGCCAGACACATGTAGTCATTGAAAGAAGAGACTTCTCCATATCCATTACCATTGTACGACCACGCTTGTCTCACTTCCCCTCATTGTTCTTCTTGACAGGGATTCGATAAACACGTGGATGTGTCATATATTGCCAAACATTACAACATGAGCAAAAGCAAAGTAGACAACCAGTTCTACAGTGTGGAAGTAGGAGACTCGACCTTCACCGTTCTCAAGCGCTACCAGAACCTGAAGCCGATTGGCTCTGGGGCTCAGGGAATAGTTTGGTAAGTAGAATGGATTTGTTATACTTTTAAAGGGACTATGCTCTACTCATTTATGAAATACAAACAGATAAACACACAAGTATCAAGTGAAATACATATATTGAAATTATAAAATTGTAAGCATCCTTTTTTTTTTTTTTTACTCGTTATCTGCTTGTTAACAAGATGCAACATGGCTTACGGTATTTTTCCGATCACCAGAAAATAAAAAAACAATCACACAAAGACAACAAATAGATCCAGAGGATGAGAGTGGTTTAGCTGTTGCCACTGTGTTTAGACAAGTTTATTTGTATATTTCACAGCAAGAACAATTGTATCTGGAGACAGGGTCAGTTAGATTCCCCAACACACTCAAGAGAGATGAGTGAGCTGGCTCTGTGACTGTTAAAGTTTGTACTGGTGAGTTTTGTATCAACTAGCCACAAACTAGACTCCTTTGGGAAGAGGTAAACTCAACTGATGAAATGTCTCCATCAGATGGGTCAGGAGGAAATCCTCTGCAACATTATCTTAATGGATGATTGATTTGGGAGGTCCCAGCTTACTGTGGGCAGCGCCATCCCTAGGCTGGTGGTCCTGATGTTATAAGGAAGCAGGCTGAGCAAGCCATGGGGAACAAGCCAGGAAGCAGCACCCTCCACGGCCTCTGCATCAGCTCCTGCCTTCAGGTTCCTGCCCTGTGCGAGTTCCTGCCCTGACTTTGCTCAGTGATGGGGTGTGACTCGGATGAAATAAAACTTTACTCCCCAAGTTGCTTTGGTCATGGTGTTTTATTATAGCAATAGAAACTGTAACTAAGATAAAGTTCAATGTTCAAAATTAACTATGTAGAAGTAGTATAAAATATGTTTGCTTAGGGGCTCTTGGACAGCATACAACTGCCTGCAGTTCCAGTTCCAGGAGATCTAATGCCCTCTTCCGAACTCCCTGGTTTCTGGCATGTACATGGTACATATAAACTCACACACACACACACACACACACACACACACACACACACACACACACACCTTATTCTTTCATGTTATGATTGAGTGATTAAATGAAACCATCTATATCTGAATTAGCCATTGTGATGCTCATGGAAAACTAATATTAAGTTAATTGACAAACATTCTTTCAAATAGTTTTAGTATGCAATATGTTAAGTAAATATATGTAGTATACTTATTAGCATAGTAATTTTCAATTTTTTGTTATTCATACCAGTTAGTAAAAGTTTAGTATATGTACTCTAATATATTTAGATATGTATATTTATAAAGGATATTTATTAATGCAATGCATTTTATTGTCTAGATTACTGACAATTAATTTTTATGTCTGTGAAAAAACAAAAGTTTACAGTGTGGGATGGGTGAAGACAAAGCTATATTTGCTTTTTAAAATTTTAAACATTTTTTCCATCCATTTATAATTCTGGAAGTGCCCTTTTAGCAACAGTGATGTACGGCCTGAAAGATATCCTAGGGCAATGGTGGTGAGGGTTTTTGTTGGTTTTGTTTTTGTTTCCTTTTTGGTTGTTGTTTTATTTTGTTTCTTTGATTTTGTTGTTGCATAGGGGTTTTGTTTGTTTTTTGAGAAAGAATTTAAAGTTGGGTAGTTAGAGGAGAGAGGATCTGGAAAGACTTGGGGGAGGGGAAGACTATAATAAAATATATTTAAATTAAAAATTGCTTTAAATAATAAAAATACAATAGTAAAAAAGATATGGATATCTAAAATAAGAAAAGCAAAAAATTGGAAATACTATTTTAATTGTAGCAATGGGTAGTTTCTATTCTTTCCCATGTACTCATTGTACATTTCTTGGTCTATTTAAAATTTGGTCATTATGCCAGTTAATTTTAGTTCGGAGTCCAGACTTGGCTGGTGTGAGTACAGTTGCACTGTGGATATACTTCCCAAGTCAAGGGATTTAGGACACTAGGATTTAGATCACACTTGCCAAATGCATGGAGGCTATTGTAAAAAGTCACCTGAAAATTTCCATTTTTGTATCACATTACAATTTGAAAAATGGAACATTTTTGTGTTTTTAAACAATGGGTTAAAACTTTCCTTTCAGAAATTTCTAAAAACAGGTTAAAAAAGAAACACATATTTATAGTATTTTTTTATTTGTCTGTTTTTATGGTTCACCTGTAAGGTAAACTCTTGGTGGCACAAAAATATTTTAATGGTGGGGCAGCAACATTACTGCCCTTCAAAGATGCCTGCCAATGAGCCCCAGAATCCAAGGATAGGACTAAGGGGAGCTCACAGTGTGCCTGAGAATCCTGACAGACATATCTAGGTGGGGCCAACATAATCACACTAGTTCTTAAAAGTATGAAAGGATGACAGAGAAGTGTATCAGAGGCGCGTCATCAGAAAGGGTGAAGCCAACATTTGAAATACTGGAAACTGGCCGTATGGCGGGCTTTGAAAATGGAGGAGGTGGTGTCAGGAGCCCAGGAGTGGTACTGGCTTTGGGGAGCTGCCTTAGTGTGAGTGGGAGACATTAGTCTCAGCCCTAAGGAACTGGAACTGCCAACACTCTAACAGAAAGAAGCAGGCTCTTCTCTAGGACTCCCAGAGGACCTTGGCTTTCCCACATTTTGATTTTAGCCCAGTGAGACTCCTGCAGGGCTCCCGGTCTATAGAACTGCAAGACGATTAATTTGTTCTTAGGCAGTTATTTTGTGGAAGTCGTGCCAGTGGCAATAATGTACACGGGGCAGCTAAGATTGCAGTGTGAAGATAACTGCTATCTGGCTTGGGGATGGCTTAGTAGTTAAGTGCACTGGCTGCTCTTCCAGAGGATCTGGGTTCAATTCCCAGCAGCTGTAAGGTGCTTCACAATTATCTCTAGCTCCAATTCCAGGGAATTCCGGCTGCTGTGAGCACTAGGCACGCATGTGGTGAACAGACATATACATAAGCAAAAATGCACATAGAATAGCAAAATAATTTAAAAGGTAAGATAATTGCTTCAAATACACCAAACTTACTGAGGTGTGGGGTGAGAACAGCACTTCTTAGTTACTTTTCTTTGGTGGAGAACTATAGAATATTCACACGAGCAAGTTTTCCTCAATAGATTCATAACTCAGAAACATTTTTGGATGGTTTTATTTTCTTTCTAATAAAGTTGTCATGAAAACGAGCTATTACTGGGACATTTTCAGTACCAGGCAATGGGTAGACTTTTGAGGAAGCCCTGACAGATCCAAGGAACATGTGGCTCAATGAAATGACAGATGATCACGGAAGGCTGAAAACTCCCAAGATTTTTGCAGTGTGTTTCATGGGCTTTTGGGTGCTCTCTTTCTCCTTTCTACACGATGTGAATCATCCTCAGTCTTACATAGAGTTACCAACAATAGAAGTCAGTATTGGAACTGATAGTGGGGACACTGAGTTTTGTGGGCACCCTCAGAAGGGTTCTGGTTACTTGTGTCCTAGAACAAGGAGTTGGTCAGAAACACGGTGTAGCAGAAACTCAAACAACTTATTAGAGAAAGATTCTTTTCCTGTGGAGGGAGAAGTCTAGAGCAGACGAAGTTTCCTGAACATCTCCAGTGCATAATGGGGTTATATCATTTATTATTTTTGGATAGAAAATAAAACTATCCAAGAGTGCAGGCTTTTTGAGCAATGTGGATGTGTGGGCTTTGGGCTCAGGTCCCCCCACGGGCTCTATCTAGTGCAGGTAGTTCTGCGAACAACTCGGAACATTGTGTATCTTGACAGCATGGTAAGTATCCATGGGGAAGGGAGTTTTAGTATTATAACGAGCCACATGTCATCTTCATGAACCCTGAAGTGCCCCTTTACCAGTGTCTGTGGCCCCATCCAGGATTTTCTGTCTTGGACAACTGGCTGCTCTCAGCCTTTACTCCTGGTTCCCCCGGACTTTCACTCACTGCTCTATCTATTCATCTGCTTCAAAATTGTCCACAAGTAAAGCCGTTTTTAGGACAGATTTATCAGCAAACAAATTCAAAACCAACAAACCAAAAATCCTGCTTGCATTTCAAAATGGTAGCCTGGGTGTTTGCTGAGGTTCTCGGCCATTTTGCCTCTGGATGAAGGAAATAAAAGCCATATTCATCTCAGCAAAGGGCAAAATGCTGGACAGAAAGGGGCGTTCTGGGCCTTCCTCTGTGATATGTGTAAACACGGCAGTCAGAACACACTCCGTGTGGACAGATACAGGCATCTCTTCCTTCGGTTTTCTCAACCTCAGAGTTAAGGTATCTTTGTGAAAACGTGGGCCTGTAATGTATTGTCTCAGTCTTGGGTTGGTTTACCTTCCCTGCCAACATTCCTTCATTATTTTCTCTTCTATTTCCTTTTGTAGACAGTGAGCCCCTTTAGACCCAATACACATCCATAGTCAGACTTGTCCCCGGAGTCCACAGACTGTCCCTGTGTACATGACAATGTTCACATGAATATATTGTCTTAACTATTCCATATCATCTAGAATATAGAGACTGGTTAGAATTGGGAGCTGAATATGATTGTGGTCTCTGGGGAAGAGGTAAATAAAAAAAGACCGTTCATTTATCTGTGCTAACTTTGGAGTGGGAATACCACATGGAGGAACCAATTTGAAAAGAGATGTCACCAATTATTTTTAATGTGCCACAGTAAAACTGTGGATGTGTGTGTGTGTGTGTGTGTGTGTGTGTGTGTGTGTCCAAGAGGAATTCTGCTGTTTGATTGCAAATGTAGGTGTACAGACACTTCTGCCACCAACTCCCAACCCCTTTTTTTTCTTGAAATGGGATCTCATTCCACTCTTCCAGTTGTTTGACACTTGCTACTTAGTTTCACAATTGCTCTTTCTTTGACTTATTACTTACTTAATGCCATGGGCCAAAAGCAATGCTACAATATCTCCTAAAGAATTAACTGCTACTGTGGCTTTCAAACTTTCCTGTGGATCATAGAACAGAAATACCACTATTGAGAGCTATTACATGAAGCTAATATGAGATCTTTTAGAA